GCTGGTCAGCGGCTGTATTATAGATACCCGGCACATGGTAACATACTAGATGAAACTGATGACAGGCCGCCAACCACGTAAGACGTCTGATAAAACCCATGATGGTTAGAGAGGTAGACCGGTCTTTGTTTATGACGTGGCAAATCGCCAAGTTGTCAGAAAAAAATCGAACTGGTCTACCTGCCCAAGACTGTCCCCATGTGATTGCTGCTGCTACTATGGGGTACACTTCAAAGAGTGCAGAATTCCTAAAAAAGCCTTCTATTTGCTTAACTTCTTCCGGCCATCTACCCCATAGCCAGTTGTCCCCAAAAATGGCTGCAAAACCTGTGGAGGCTGCTGCATCAGTCCAAATGGTAGGGGAATCTTCTGTGACTTGGGGGAGGAACATGCTCCTGCCATTCCAGTTTGACAGGAACACGTTCCACATGTGTAAGTCTGCTGTGGCTTGCCTATCAAGAGTGGTACGTTTGTGTTCGTTCGTTAGTGTTGGAAGAAGGCACAGGAGTCTTGAAATGAATGCTCTTCCTTGTGGTATAATACGAATGGCAAAATTTAGCGAGCCAATCAGTGACTGAAGCTCTTTTCTATTGCATGAGCCTATGCTCAAGTACTGCTGAATGGTATGAGTGATGTTGTCAATCTTATCTCTAGGGAGGCTGGCTTCCATAGTTATGGAGTCCAGTTGTATCCCCAAAAACTGAATGATCATATCTGGACCTTCTGTCTTGGTGGGAGATACTGGAACCCCAATGGTGTTAAATAAATGCATGGCTTTGTGTAAACTGTTAGGGGGGGTAGCGTTATTTTCTATGAAAAGGAAGTCATCCAAGTAATGAATGACGCTATGGCACCTGCTGGTATTCAGGAGCAGCCAGCACAAGGTCTCTGCGAAAGTGTCAAATATTTTAGGACTACTCTTGGATCCAAAGGTGAGCCTTGTGAAGAAGTAATACTGGCCTCTCCATTTGATACCATGCAAATGCCACAGCGATGGGTGTATGGGGAGTAGTTTAAAGGCGTTAACTATGTCGGTTTTGCTCAACCATGCGCCTATGCCTGCTGAGATGATGGTGGATATGGCGTCGTCTATGGTGGTGTATTGTAAAGAGAATGCCTCTGACGGGATCAGGGAATTGAGGCTGGCTATCACTGAAGCATGTGGAGCAGACAGGTCTATAATGAGTCTTTGTTTGTTAGAAGTTTTCCCAGTGACTAGTCCAATGGGATTTGTTCTCCAATTAGAGAACGGCGGGTCAATAAATGGACCTAAGACAAATCCTTGGTCTTGTTCAATTTGTAGTAGGTAGTCTACTGCGTCTGTGTCACAAAGGGCGGACTGGAGGTTGTTGGCTTCCCATGTACCCCCTGGTATGTGAATGAGGCCAGTATGAAACCCTTTGGAAAACCCTGCTACAAATACTCCACAAGATGTGTAGAAGGGTGCTTGGAGAGAAGCCCTGCCAGAACATCAACATTCACAGTAGTTAGGTAGGGTTTAATGTGCATTTTATTAGGGCACATTGCCTTTGCATGTGCCCTGAAACAATGGGAGCAGATATGCAGTAGACGGCAAGCACTATAGGAGCAAGCCCCAACATTAAAATTATTACAGATCTGTGACTTGCCCAAATACATGATAGAGTGACCCAGCTTGTCTCTGCCCTGTTTCTCCCCCCTGGAAGTGCTTGGTGTGGCATTGTTTGGGGCATCGTCTGTGGAGACAGGACAGAGATTTGCAGCGTGCGTGGTAGCCCCACATATTGCACAAGCTGGAGACCTTAGCCTGGCAAAGTGCCTGAGGAACAGCTCTGTATCCATTAGGCTCCAATCCATTCTTGCGTTATACTGGGCGAGAGCTGTTGCCGCTTTAGTAGAAAAAGAACGGTGGTAATCGTAAAATGATGACCCACCGTATTTGTTGCCCAGGTCTACCAGCTTGTGCATGTACAGGTCTAACTCTTCCCTTCTCTGTGGGTAAACTGAGCACAGTACGTCCCTGTATATGCCGAATGCAATAACGAAGTCTGGGATTGCTAGTTTTTTGCTTAGTCTAGGATCTCTGGCCTTGAGGACCACAGAAATATCGCCATACATATATGCGCGGTTTTCTGTGATATCCTGGGAGGCAATAAGCAGAGAGACTAGATTTACATCCTTGCCCTCCAGGATGTCTTTTTTAAGGTTTGCTGGTACCATATGGGCTGGGTTGATCACTTGTGACCCAAGGATAGTGGGGGTATTAGGATTACCAGGTTGGGCTTGTGATGGCCCTGGGATATCGGTAGCAGGTGGCTCTGGTGACACAACTGGACCGCTACGAGCTTCCAGTCTTTCCAGTCTCTCATTAATCTGCCCCATGGAAGACACTGAGGCGACCATGGTATGCAGATTAGCATTGCTTGAATTACTAGTGCCTTCCCTGGCGTCAGAATTGTCCTGATTGGCTTGCATAAGCCTGTACAATTCTGCCTTGCTGGATAAGGAATACTACGTTTGCGTAGTTCGGCCGTGATCCGTGGGATGGTCCATGATCTAATAGATGACAGGCTGCCGATGTCCCCTTTGCATGTGGGGGTGGCAGTCCTGGTCGGTGTACTAGGCATTGATAGTTCATCTCCTTCATGAACTTGGGACATACTGAAATATATACGTATGTAATCGTGAGTTTCATTATGGAGAGTGTAAAATGTTTAACTAGTGCCAAAGTGGCGAAATAATTCATTAAACTTGTGGCAGGTGAGTCCCTATTAAATGCCAAGTGGCTAGTAGGATTTAACTATGGTTGGCGCGAGGGGTTGATCTGTTGTACATGTTTTACCAGTGGAGATTTTATCATTAATTGAGGGTTATGACGGATGACGCCCTAGCTATGCAACATGCGAGGCGTCTAGCTATGATTTGGCCCGTGGGGGTTTAATACCTCTTACATCGAGGATGGAAGTTGGCCTCGCGGGACCTCTAACCCTATGGCAGAAGGTGCCTGGGAGGAGAATTACTTAAGTGGGCATGTTGAAGTTTCTTATACTGGTTGCTGCAACCGACATAACTTACCTGAGTGCCCAACGTTTGCCTGGCAGTCCTGTAGTAGTTTGATTACTGTTAGGGAAGATGGCCTAAACCCGGTGCTGGATGACAGAATGGAAGGCATAAGGTACATATAAGTGTGTACTGCTATCTTGTAGCTGAAGCCTGCCCCCCCCCCCCCACTTTTTGTGGTGTATGTCCTAGGATCACCTACCTATGGTTGTAGGTTGAGTGTAAGTAGGTTCTGAAGGCCAAGTCTGTCTTAGTTTGGTTCTTGAAACTGTAAACACATGTAAAACCGTTATGGCAGTGCCCCAAATATCTGCTTGGCACAAAGTGCACTCGGCATACATTTGTGAGCATATGCACTCGGCATACATTTGTGAGAGTGTCATATGTCTGATTAATGGGACATACATCGCCCATATGTTGTACATACCAAGGAAGTAATATAATACTTGTCTTTGTCTCGGTCTCTGACCCTGCCAGGGGAATCAGTATACCAGGTCACCAAATAAAGGGAAAATATTCTTGAACTTGCAATTTGTCTATAACCACGCAAGTAATTCTGAAGATTTAATTGAAACGGTGGTGTGAGTATATGGTATATATTCTTGAGTCACACAGATCCACATATTAGGTAGATTAGTCACATAATTACATCACAATTTAGTGCCCGAGAGCAGCTTATATCTGATTTATATGCTTTAAACAGTTGTTTCCACAAATTTATACGTAACCGGTTGTGCATGAATTAAATGGATACTTTATTATTCCTAACGTAATATATAAATCTTACCATTTTTAATATTGCCATTGTTAACACATATCACAGAATTTGAAATATACCAGATAACATTACTATTTTTAGGGCGACCTCTAGTGGTTACAACTTGTATTGCCGTCAGCAATGCTGTAATTTTTTTATTTTTTTTTGACGTGCTTTCTGGCTGAGGCTGTGAAGGGAGCTCTGCCCGTGTGAGTGAACCCCCGACTGTAGGTAAGTAAGACTGGGGGGGGGGATGTGGGAGGAGAGATTTGTAAACTGTTGATACCCTAACAAAGGGTATCAAGGAGCCTTGCAAAATATAGTAACTTCTTAATTTTAAAATGTATTTATTCATATTATTATTTTTTTTTCAATAGTTTATGTGACAGGGCACTTGTAGGTTGGGGTGGGGGGCGGGTTGGTGCGGCTATTGTGGCAGAAATCGCGGACCCCCGTGAATTAGGTCCGTGGGGGGTCTTGAGTGTATTAGCCGCCTGACCGTTACCTGCCATGAGCCTGGGGGGGGGTTCCCCACTCTTGGAGAGAGGGGGAGAGGAGTTAGGAGCCGGGTCCTACAATATATTGAACCGGCTGCTGTGAAGTGGGCGGGGGGGGTTAGGACCCGGGTGACACATGAACCGGCTGTTGTGTAGTGAGAGGGGGGGTTAGGAGCTGGGTTATAGAATAACTTGAACCGGCTGCTGTGCAGTGAGCGGCAGCAGGGAGGGGAAGGGAGTGAGGGCTGATCTGCATGAGGCCTGATCCCCCGGCGGGAATCAAGCCGAATCAGCCCTGGCGAGGGGGTTTCTGTCCCCCAAAATACTGTAGCCGTGGACCTCGGCGGGTCAGGCTATGTGTAGGCTGCAGACCGGTACAATGATACCGGTCTGCCAACTCACTGTTTAGTAGGGAAACCGGCGGTAGGAGCACCAGAAACTTTGAAAATGCAGCTGTCAGGAGAAACTGAAAACCACGTTGGGAACCTGCAATCCAAACGAGCATCTGGACCAGAAGGTGAATGAGGTAGGAGGGGGAGTCCCTTTTAAAGGGATATAGCCCCTCTCACAACTTCAGGCTCTGCCTTCCTCTATATATATATATATATATATATATATTATATCACAAAGGTGAGTACACCCCTCACATTTTTGTAAATATTTTATTATATCTTCTCATGTGACAACACTGATGAAATTACACTCTGCTACAATGTAAAGTAGTACGTGTACAGCCTGTATAAAAGTGTACATTTGCTGTCCCCTCAAAATAACTCAACACACAGCCATTAATGTCTAAACTGTTGGCAACAAAAGTAAGTACTTTAACTTACCCCATTACGAGGAAGAAAAGAAGATAGAGCAAGAGAGAGGAAAAAACAAACAAGCTACGACCCACTGTGAGAGTGGTGTTTGGCTTTTGCACAGACACCTTTTTATAGATTGATACATTTTATCATAAGGTGGCTGCTCCTCTAAGTATTACCTTATGCACTCCCCGCAGGTATTTTTAATCCTTTATTCCTGTCTGGATATCCGCATCTGGCTGATAACTAACTAGAGTGATGTCAAAATGAATGCATGTGTATGGTTTCAACAGATCTAGATTTAACTTTAACATGGCATATTTCTGATAGGTTTATCTACATTTCTTAATTCCTCCACTAATTTGCAAATGTACGGTCTAAGATTTTCTCATCACTTATCTTGAGTTATCTCTCCAGAAAAATTAATTGTTGTTCTACTTCTGTTTGCATGTGCAGTGGGCATTAAACTACGTACTGTACATTTTCATGTAAAATGACATTATGATAAGGGTTTTGCTTTTCACATTTTTCCATCAACAAATGCTTGATTACATTTATCCAGAGGCCTCATGCTCTGCATTTTGATTAGAAAAGAAACAAAATCCAAGTTAAAAAGGTTTGACTTACAGTTGCTACAATGTAAATTAACAAAAATTGTAATGTATACAATCTTCAATAAGATTGCCTCAGGCAAGAAATGGACTGTTACTCATGTTTACAACAAATAATTGCAAAGTTTACTTTCTTATACTTCTGATAGATGAATACACATGTATAATTATTATTAATTATTGTATTAATAATTATCATTCTTTCTCATTTCCTAATTTGTTCTATTAAAAGGTACACTAATGACCTTGTTACCGTATCTGCATATTCATTTTACTATAATTCATATGTTCGTTCTGTGTGAATTAAAATAAGATTTATAATGACAAATTATAGATTTAAAAAATAAAAGTAATGTTCAAGTACCTTGTTTCAAAAACTGTTGGCTACTAAACCAAAAATTAAGTTTTTGTAGTCTGTAAAGAAATTACTCTTGATACTTTGAGTCAGTTGTGCAATACGCCAACACTCTTGTGACTATCTCTGATCTGACTTACAGACATGTATCTTGTTTTCTTAAAAAAAAAAAAAAAAAAAAGGGCAGTTATTTTTGTGCTGTTCTCTGCTATACCTGTGACTCTTCTTATTCTATTTTTGTTTAACAGTCTCAAAAATAAAAACAGTTAAAGTTTTTAACTTGATGACTATTGTGTACACATTTTTACTTTCATTTACTTTAAAAAATGAAATGCAGTCCATAAAGCTTCACTTACCTCATTTACACTCCAAGACCAATTACCAGCCTGTAGAGCAGTCCCCATGACTACAGATGCCGCGAACTGTTCACGAACTTCCCGCGAACGGCTCGCCACGAACCGTTCGTGGCGAGCCCCGGTCAGCTGACACATCCCAGCCAATCTCCAGCAGACCCTCCCACCTCCTGGACAGCATCCATGTTGAAGGCAGCTTCAACATGGATGCTGGCCAGGAGGTGGGAGGGTCTGGGAGGGAGGGTCTGCTGGAGATTGGCCGGGATGTGTCAGCTGACCGGGGCTCGCGGCGAACTGAGGCGAGCCGTTCGCGAACGGTTCGCGACATCAATACCCATGACCTAGCAACAGTCCAGGTTTTGTCGGTATCTCCACTGTAATAGAAAAAGGAAATACATAAATCCTGGAAAGTTGTAGGGAAAAAGTGCAGATTTTAATAGAATTTAGCACTTTCGAAATTGATCTTGATAATAATAAATGCAGTATAAGTGGATACAATAAGTAGAACATTAGTTTTACAGTATTAGAAATTATATACAGGTAGTAGTCTTGATCAGCTGATGTTGGAAATGTAAACAAAGCAAATGGCGCATGAACTCTGTATAATACGATATTAATGATAATATATGCAGTAATATTGGATACAGTAAGTAAAACGTTTTTTATGAAATCCACTCTATTTATTATTATTCTCAACACACTAACGCTAAAAAGTATATATACAACCTACTGGTCACAAAAAAATCTACGGATTACATTTGCTGGACCCGAGGAAAAAATATGTGAATTTGTGAAGCCGCAGATTCAGAAGCGCAAATTTTTGGGGTATTACTGTAATTAAATACAGTGGGACCTCGGCTTTTGGAATTTAATGCGTTCTCCGGGACGTTTATTATTGCGAAAAATTTGTGAACCGAAACGCAGTTTCTCATAGGAATGCATTGAAAACCAATTAATCCGTTCTGGAGGTTCAGAAAAAAGTCAAAATGAGCTGGCATGGAAACCAACCCACAATGCAGAACACACAATAAAAGGCATGCAAACGACAAAGCTCCCTACCTTTCCACAGCTTGAGAAATGCACCAAAAAGTCCCAAAACAACTGAAAACAATTTCCAGAATGGCTCCAAAACTTGATGCAAAAGCCGCGCCAACACCTCCACACTCGACGCCACGTGCAAGAGGCAGTGCTATGAACCTTCCAGGTGCAATGCATCCTGGGGAAACTTGCTTTGTATTGCAAAAAAAATTTGTAAACTGAGGCATTATTTTCAATGGATTTTCATTTGTAAACCGAATGTGATGTTAACCGAGGCGTTTGTAAACCAAGGTCCCACTGCACATGCATAATATCATACGGGGTATATCTAACAGTGATTAAATTGAGTGTTCCTTTATGAGTTATGTTAAAAAAAAATGTTATTTCTTGGGTAAAAATCACTGCAATTGTTTGTAAATGTGTTTGTCCTGATGAAACATCATTTTAATTGATACCTGTAAATAAAAGTTACGGTTTATTACTATTGGATACGAAGTCCCTGGAGTGCAACTCCTATTGCAATCTTACATGGTATGCGGACAAGTACCAGGCATGTGAATTTATACCCTGGAGTGCAAGTTTATGGACTATTTTGTATACGTGGAGATCGCCTGTGCTCACTAAAGACATTTCTCCATTTTTACTCGTCCTATGATGTGCTACTGAAGAGGGAACAATCAACCGATCTGCTGGTCAAAATGGACTCAGTACACTGTTATACATCAAACTCTCCAAAACACGGATTGCTGTAGATGTTTGGGCGGTGTGATGTGCAGTGATATGGTACCGGGGAAAACCTTCATGCACAGACTAACATACATGACTGACAAAGTCATATACAAACTCCAGTGCCCCTTTGGATTAATGTATATCGGTAAGAATTCGTAAACACAAATCAAGTATACATACAGGATTTCGTGACCAGAAGGCTGAACTACCCATTGCTAAACACTTTTTGGCTTTGGGACATCTACTCCCCTCACTAAAGCATATTGCAATAGACCACATCCCTCCCCTTAGACGAGGAGGTGATCGCAAAAACATTTGCTACAACAGGAATTATTTTTTAAACAGACATTGGGTATGGTCTGGCCAAAAGGACTTAATGAGACGTATTCTCTCTCAGTATTTTTATAATATTGGTTGCCATATGTACTCATTGATATTTTTAATCTCTTTTTGACTTGCCTCTTGCCTAGTTGCGGTTTGTTAGTTTGTCTACATTTCTGCCACATATTATTGTATAATGTCTCTGTAAAGCAAGCATGTCAAACTTGCGGCCCGCAATGAATATATTTGCAGCCCGCCTGCCTTCGGGCTGCTTTGTGCTGTGCCGGCGACCAGCCGCAAGACAGGAAAGATCTTTCCTGTCTGATTCTGGTCATCCCTCCCACGGCCCAAGAGGTCAGAGTGGCTGTCTGTCTCCAGAGCAGGCCAGTCACTTCCCCTTCCCTCCTGCTCGCAATTGGATTTGGGGTCAAAGTATTAAAATGGGTCTCCCTGGAGGCGCTGAATACTTCTCATGGAGATACTGATTGGCCGCACAGTTTTTTGCCACACATGCACAATAGCCTCCTAATGCTAATGGGAAAGCATTGGATTGGCTGCAATCGTCAAGTTTGATGATCTCAGCCAAAGTGAAGAACACACTCATAGAACTTCAAAATTAACAAGATAACGTCATTTGTTTTTTACAGCTGTGCAAAAGCATACAGTTACCATTTCAGTCCTATTACCAAACTTTTCTTAATATGTCAAGGTAGTTGGACTGAAACATTGGTTATATATGCAAATGCACGTCTCCTTCAAATAAATTAGCTCTTTTATTTACTTTGAAGCCCTACAAGCGTGAGGACATCTAGTATCAGTTAGGCAACTTTTTTATACTGTACTTTTCTAAATAAACCTACGTTTCGAATAAAAGAAAAGGACTAAAGTGAAATGGTTGTTCCACTAGAGATGGAAAAGTTGGACATCCATTCCACAAAGTGATATCTCATGAAGATAGTAAAATAATTATTAGGTATAACCTTTATTAAGCCGTCTATGGGCAAAACAAAAAATAAAGTGTAATAATAGTGAGAAAATAACAAGTGAGATAAAAACTGGGTAGATGCAATGTGGATATCTTCAGACAGTAATGGAGTGGCTAAAGTCTCTTAAGCTAAGGTTTACAATAAAGAGTACAATATAGAGTACAATATATACTCAATCAAATATCACAAAGCCACTCCCTATATATAGGTAAATCCACATAAGTTATCATAGACTCTAATATATTTTAATGCATACAAATTAGAATTAAGTAAATAGTATCCATATATTGTAAATCTATCGTATAAAGTTTATCTAAATTGTTGCAAATAAAAGAGAGAGTCTAGAGGAAAGTTGAGAGAAAGTGTATATATATTTGCTACTTAGTTAAAGATTGAAAGAAAGCTATGTAGTTAATAGACAAATAACAGCATTTGTACATATATATACACTATATGGTTACTAATATCCAAGTGTATCCTTATAGAAATATAAGAACTCAGAAATAGAAATAATAAGGAAAAAAATTATTATAAACGTGGTGGAAAAAATAGTGGAGACAGTGTCTCAGTAGACCAGTTAAAGCATAGATATATAGATATATAGATTGTTAAAGAAGTGGTTAAAATTGAACCTGGGGGTTAATTTGCAGGTGTCTCATAGTAATGAGATGGGTTAAAGATTCAAACCCCATATATATAGAGGCACCCGCCAGACAGAAAAATT